TAAGGCCAGTTTAGAACCACCAGTAAAACTAACGTGCATGTCTTTGGACTGTGGAAGAAGCCGGAGTACCCAGAAAGCACCAACAGGGAGAACATGCAAACTCTAGACAGGAAGGCTCCAGCCAGCGAATTCAAACACGGGACCTTCTTGCCACGAGATAACACACCGCTCTTCCACCCCTTAACTAAAAGTGTTTTCTGTGCTGTGTGTTTTGTCTGTCCTGGACATAGCTTTTCACCAGATTTTTTTGTCCTTTGGTGCATTAAAAATAAAAGTAATACGCATATCTATACTCCTCAAAAGCTGTAGATCACTGCACATGAACTGAAATCAGCTAACAAAAGAAAAGAACAAATGACAGGACAGTTTGATGTTTTTTTTCTATGAAAAGTGTGGAGTCAACTGAAGAACCTTTGTAATGTAACGACATAATTGCAAGTGTAATGTAATTACAGTTTTAATGAATTTGAAATGAATTACACCCAACAGGCTGTGTGATATCACCATACCCTCAAACATCAAAGAATGATCCCTCTATCCTTGATCCTGAATGTTTGTGTTAAGATCTACCTAAGAGACTGTGTTCAGTATAAGACGTGCAGAAAAATTAATAACCCGTAAACATCATCTCTCTGGGCAATTGCATTAAAACATTTATATGTCTTTTCTATAAACATTTGCACAAGTTCCTTCCTCTTTGCATCCAGACTCACCCAGGGTTCATCTCCAGCCAAGTTTCCAGCTGTCCAGCTTTGGGAGCGTCCACCCCTGTCAGGATATTCCCACTGTCCACGTGGATGACCTTCACCGGCAGGTCACTCATCTGACTCGTCTCATCTAGAGGCTGCAGGAGTAGAGAGGGTTTGTTTAAGACTTTAAATGCTGACAGAGATTCAGATGGTTAATCACTGGCGCTGCAGCTATTTGATCAAACAAACAAGTTCACAGTATCAAGCGAATTCCCAATTATTTGTAATTCAGTACAACACGTGCTCTATAAATATTTTTTACAGCGAAACCACTTTGCTTTCTTGTTGTGATAAAGTCCAGGTGTTTATCATTGTGCTCAGTCAAATAGCGGGTGATATTTTGCTTGTTTTCCGAGTAGCAAAAGGCTTTTGTTTGGTCTCCTGTTGCGGGTTACCATGTCATGTGATGTCAGCGCCGTTTGTGCCTGATGAGAATCGAGCTGAAGAAATGATTCCCCGCAGTGAACAGTGACTTAAAACTGCAGCTTCTACTCCTGTACCATGTCTTTATCTCTACAGTCTTCATTAAGGCTTCTGCATTTGCTCACCTCTCCATCAGGACCCATAGCAGGAGTCTGACCCTCTGCATTCTCCACCTGCAACATAAGGGAAAAATAAGTAATCAGGTTATACGCGACAGAACATAATCAGAAACAAAAATCTGTGTTACGCAGACTTTACAGTGGAGTGTCTGTGTTTGTCGGTGTACCTTCTTCTTTTTCTTTTTCTTTTTTTTCTTCTCCTTGAGGGCCTGTGCAGCTTTGTGGGCTCGGACCAGCTCTGTGAGGTTTGCAACGTACTCGTCGGTCTGCTGCAGCAGGTAGGCCAAGCGCTTATCCTTCTTCTGGTCGATGAGTTTGCGGTAGCCCTCCTCATCCTCAGCCTGGGTAAAAAATATGGTACAATGTGTAGGAGGGATTTGTGTACTGCTACGTTCGTGATGGGCATTAAGTGATATTATAGTTTCTTCTTTTTACCATGAGCCTCCTCATCCTCTCTTTCTCAATACGCTCATTCTCCTTCTTCTGCTCCCGCTCGGTGTTGGCGTGGTAGGTGGCCACAGCTTTGGTCAGTTTCTGGATTTTGCCTGTGATCGAACGGTGGTACTCCTTGAAGTCTTTGGCGTGCTGAAGGATGCTGTTGAGGTACTCCTTTGTTTAGATTGGATGAAGGACAGAAAGAGATTATCAGTGAGAAGCAAAACTTTAAAAAAATATCACAGTTAACCTCGAAGTTTGGGCTCAACCTGATGTTTTTGTCTACGTTTGCGTTCTTGTTCAATCTTCTGCTGTTTCTCCAGTTTCTCTGTGATGCGGGCTTCGCGGAGAGACTGTCGCTTGCTTCGCTTGTAGGCCTTGGCATCAAGGGCGGTCTCTAGAGCTGTGTCACGGCGCATACACACCACCACCTCCTGACGCAGCTTTTAGAGAAAGAGACACAATAGAAAACACACAGAAAATGTAAACTCACCAGCAGAACCATCCACACTGAAAACACACACACAAACCGTAATGGTCTCTGATTCACCATAACTGCCAACGATGCATTACTGTCAAGGTTCGAGGTGAGGATGTGACTGTAGTGCATACCTGTCTCTGGAAGTTAAGTAGTCGCAGGGCTTTGAGCTCTATGGTGGCTTTGGTTCGTAAATCACCAGCCAGAGAACCCGGTAGATTCTCTAGCTCAGCAATGCGATGGGTTATACGAGCTTGTAACCTGAAGAAGCAGGTACAACGAGTAGTTATATCCCAGAAAAAAAGGTTGTTTGTGCAGGAGCTGATGGTGAGAATTATGAAACATCAAAACCACAACTACCATAGTACACAGAAGAGAAAAGGTACTACTGAGATATTAACAGCCTTTAGTCTAGGTGTGTAGAAGTATGCTAACACTAACATTGTGCCATACAACTAAATAAGAACTAGAAAACCAAAGTTCCCTTCAGAGAGAGGGGTGCATTGAAACCAGGACAAAAACAAAATCACTTTGCAACTGTGTGAAGTGTTTGAGGTGTTGGAGTCGAGAACTTTGCCAGTGGAGTGGCGACATCTTTAAAAGATTTACAGATGACATGCTAGGTCCTTACTCCAATGAGCTGCCAATCATTTAAATAAAAGAACTGATGACATATTACACAACGCAGAGGCAACTTAGTGCAGGCACGAGTACTCGTGTATGGGCTTTGAACTTTAGCTTTAACTTTGGTGTGACTTATGCAAACAAGTTTGAAAGTCATGAGGTTTGTGATCACTGCCATCTGTTTGTCTCCTGGTCAGAAAGATTACATAGAAAGAGTCGAGCCGAATTTGTGGGAATTTGGTGGAAAGGCAAGTGGAAAAGGAAGAAATGATTCAATTCTGGTGTGGAAAAAAACAGCAAAACTGGGATTGATAGAAGATTTGCTTCCCAAATGTCGATGCAAAAAAATGATGTATTGTTTTGTACTTTTGATTTTTTTGTACTATATTATAAACATAAGATAGAAAATATACAAGAAAAAGCTTGTGGTAAATATTATATGCTTTAAAAGTTTTAACACAAAGTAAAGTTTGCCATCTCTAAATATATGTACTGATTATGGTGCAGTATAAATTAACACAACCCTTAAGAGTCAGATAACTAAAGCTCAATTTAGCTATTTTGTTCAACAGATAAATAAATGGGACAGAGGATAGCGCATCCCCCAAAAGACTTGATTACCTGTACTCCCTCTCCTGCAGTATCTCCACGGGGTCGAGGCCACAGGGTTTCTGAATGGGTGTAATGCGGTTCTGTTTGGCATGGTAAGGCATCATGGGAGTAGGCTGCGCAGGCTGGCCGGGAGACTGGGTCTGCGGGGGCATCACCGGGGAGGCAGCCGGCGGAACTGAAGGGGGAGCAGGAGATGGCCGGCCAGTGGGCTGAGGGGGGATGAGTTTTTGTGGAGCGTTGGAGGGGGCTGCTGCGTTCACCATGGGGCCTGGAGGAAAGTGTAGTGAGGAAAAGTAGAAAAAGTCAGGACGTCACTGTGGTCTACACAAAATGATGAATGCCTAAAGGAAAATTAGGAATTACAGCAGAAGTAACACTGCACGACAGCATAATTCAACTCTTCTATCAGCACTTAGTCAGCCGTTTTTACACTAACAGCCTAACTAGGTTTCAACAAAGATGCTCCTAGTGAAGAGACAGTCAGTTTCCACAAGGTCTTATACCAGCACCACGTACCTTCGGGCCATGACTTCGGAGGTCCATTAGTATTTTGACCCTGCATCCCAACTGGGGTTCCTGATGGGCCGGGGGGAGGCATATTTGGACCCATCATTCCTAAGAAATCAAAGAATGCAGATTGAATACGGATGATATCCATAACAAGGCCTTGTTCAAATTTTAGAAACAATACTGTGGGAGATTTATGAAACGGTGAGGAAGACTTAAAGTGGAGGTGTGAATTAGTCTTCTATGTATTCACCCTCAGGTTATAAGAAACAGTACTGCTATTTCAGACATTCCTCATGCTTGCTCACCGTGACCTCGGCTGTAGCCTGAGCCCATTGGCCCTGGCCCTGGTCCTGTTGGACCACCTCCTGGCCCTCCTCCAGCTCCGGGAGCCAGACTAGGCATGGGCTGCTGCATCCCTGGCATCGGCCTCTTTCCTTGGACAGCTATTTGAAGGTGGTCTGGGAGGGGCTGTCCCCGGGCTAGCATCTTATAAGCCATGATCTGGGCTCTAAGTTGGTGAAGCTGGTTCTGGTTAAAGGGAGTTGGACCACCAGGACCTCCAGGTCCCGCAGGGCCGCTGGTATCAAGGCCAGGACCAAGGCTAGGGACACTGGGGCCAAGACTGGGTCCAGGGCTTGGACCTGGTCCAGAACTGCCTGGAGGGACGGGTCGGTTATTAGGACCCAAAATGTGCTGATCTCCACTGGAGCCATCTAATGGTGTAGAGGCAGAGCCAGGACCACCAGAGGAAGAGGAGGAAGATGATGAGGGCATAAGGGGCCCAGAGGGGGGACCATTTGAAGGGATGGGACTTGAGTGATCAGAGCCACCTAATGGAGAGTGGTAGCCTGGAATACACAGAGAAAAAGGCAGGCAGGTAGAGAGAATCACTCTCTACGGGTCCTCAAAGGAAAATTTGATAATAATCTTACAGTCTTCAAGCCAAGCACAAAACACAAAACTTATCATCGTACCAAACCTGAGGCAAACTCTAACAAACAATAAATTATTGTCTAAATTTGATCAAATCCTGGATTATTATTATTATTGTTATGATTATTTCCAGGAGATTGTTAACTGTGATTCACCACGTTAAGCCTGTCTATATCCCATCCTTACAGCACAGAGCAGGCTGTCTTTGTCTGAGCCAGACTGAGCCATGACAGTTGTATATCATTCAGTATTTCAATAATGAAACAGTGAAACGGTTTTCATGGTTCATGTTACAGCTGGTGACAACAGAGACACTCCCCTCTGAGCCAGTCAGGACACATAGTCACACCACTGCCGTTAAGTCATGCTTAAAAGCCGTCACATGTCTTACGCAATGTAGGAATTAAGCAAATTGCTTAAGAATGGTTTAGGTAACATGCCTACCTTGTGAGTGTTGGTCTAGAGGACTGGGTGGGGGGCCCATACCACTGTGCCCGCCCTGTCTCACTGACAGTCCCTTCATCTGACTTAAACGGCTCTCCTCACTCAAGCTTTTCTCGTGCAAACCCTCCATGGGCTGTGGGAGGAATCAGACAGTGCTGAAGTTAAACACTATCAGTTTTGAACAAAAGTCGCCATTGCAGAGGATTTGCAGAAGTTTCACTGAGTTAAAAAGCAAATACCAAAGACAAAACTTAAGTAAGCAGAAGCATAGTTATATGAAAAAAAAAACATGTAGAGTAAGAGCAGTTAACCAATGTCAAGTCAAACATGTTCGATTTTTGGGTCAAATATGGAAGAGGAGCATTGATTGTTCACAGGCACAGGTGCTACTTAGTGCATATCAAGTTTTCAACTCTCAGTGAATAATAATGTTTAGAAAAAACACTGAAATAAATCACATACCCGTAGTTAGTGGAACAAATCAATGGTTTTCTTAGGTTAAATATTTCTGATACATTCTCCTTCAAGCTTAGCTAGTAGTTAATCATTTATTTAGTGAATAAATATTAGATAATATGTGTGTCTATTAACATTATACTGATATTTAGATCTAATAACTACAAAGAGCAAAATTAAGCATGATGAAAACATCAAATTTAAATGAAGATGGAAATCTGAAGATGAAAATGCTTGAAAGCTTTGCTGTACATGTGCATCATCTACACTTCATTCTTAAGCAAGTGAAATTAATGTTAAAATCCTTTCTGTTTAAGAGTCACTGTAAATCTGTAGCAATGAGGTTTAAAAAGTAATTGCTGACAAACTGCGGTTCCCTAAAGGACGGCAACACGAGCAGCTGCTGAGAGCGTCTCACTGGGACTGCTGCCTGAATGCCCTTACTTTGTGCAGAGGGTGCATGCTGTCCGGGCCATATCCAGAGGGCCCTGGCTGGGAGTGTCCAGAGGAGGGAGGACCAGGGCTGGGGCCCATCATACTGTGAGAGGAGCCTGGGGAGGGTCCGGGGCTGGGGCCAAGCATAGCCCCAGGAGAAGGACCCGGACCAGGGGAGGGACCAGGGCGAGGGGTGCCTCCCATGGGGGGATCAGGTGTTGACATGATCGCCTGGGATCTCCTGCTCCTGGATGAGCAGGAGGGACCTGAGAAGGAAGAGAAATGACAAATTTCAGTAAGAGGGCAATGAAATATGCACCAATTACTTAACTGAGAAGGAAGTAATAAGGTTTTGGTTTGGACAATTAAAAAATCATGGCAATAAAGTCTGCATATGACTTCAGCTGCATTTCTAATAAATGATGAGGGTGCACAGTCTTTGCGGGATAGGGGTGAATTTTTGTCCAGCCTATCAGATGTAGACTCTCTGCTCGCCAGCTGCGCTGCGCCAAATCACCCGTTGCGCGCATATGCAATTACAGCTGCCGGGTCTACCACTGAACTTGAGCTGAAGACGGGGAAATACAGTAAATTATGCACAAGAGCCCGTGCTGCTGAGAATCTTTTCACTCTGGCATGAAAGGGTGTCTCGTTAAATATAAAAATGGGGAATGGCGGACTGTGCTTGTGCGACAGACCTACCCGCATCAACAGGATTGGCAGTCCTGGGTGGATTTCTGCGCTCCCGAGCTGATATTTGCGGGTGATGAAGGAAGATGCAGCAGTTGTCGCAATTAGCCTACTCACCCTCTTTGTAATCTGCCTGCAAGCGTTGATTTCTTTCACCGACGTGGCTCGAGCGCCCCCCTCCACAGCTCCTATGACCGAATGTCTAGTCACGGCCGCACGGCAGCGCGCATGCGTGCGCAGAGACGGCAAACCTGTACTCGGCGTGCATCAACCCTGAATTCTTGTTTGAAAATCCAAAATAATCGTGGAATATTAAATGTCGAGATAACCTGTGGCTGGATTTCACCCACAACAGTGAAATCGTGAACGGTGGCTGTGAACACAGGTATTAGAATCACGCGACTTAATAACTGCAACCTTCAAAAGCAACACACTCAACCAAAATACACCGTTTTCTGCTGTGCACATTTGGCATTTTTAATTTTGAGAATTTATTGTGAGGTTTTGCACTTTTCATTCATTGCGTGCTTTCTTTTAAATATGCAGTGTTTGTCCCGTTTTTTTTAATTTAGTCTCGATTCTGTAAAGCACAAAATAAATAAATAAATAAAATAAATACATACTGCATGCTTGTTTTCCCCCACAATTTAAAATACAATAAGTGGTGTCATGGTGGCGGAATGATGTGGTGGATATTTATCATATATTATTTAAATGTCACAGCCTGCCTTGGTGTTGTTGAACTGATGATAAAGTCACTGTACTCATATCGCCTTCAAAGTCCAACATCTTTGAGATGTGGTGGAACAAGAGATTCAAAACCTACAAATCTGCATTAACTGTGTGATGCAATCATGTCAATATGGACAACAATCTCAGGAATGTTTCCAGCACCTTGTTGAGGGCTCCAACGTGGTATTAACAAGGTGTGAGTAATGAAATTATATGCCACATGTTACTTCAGCATCTGCTGCATAAACTTTACAACAAGCGTATTTGCTCTGACCCTGCTAACTACAGAACATTGAATTGATCATTTCCCATCGCTCTCGTTCCTTTGACAGCGTATATACCTGCAGTTCAAATCTACACACAAAACGCAGTAACATGTACTGTAATTCCAGTGTCTGAAGTTTAATCAGGACAATAAACTCAATAACAGTAGTAGTGCAACTTGCAGTAGTAGCTTTTACAGAAAAAGGGGACAAACAAAAACACAGAGACACTGCAGCAGAAGTCTGAAAATCAAGCAAACAACAAAATAAATAAAATAAAAAAAAGATCTCCATTCAGCTTCGGTTTGTCTCATTACCTTGGCTGTGCAAGGTAAAATCTAGAACACGTACATAAGTAAGAGCTGGGTGTTTTACTTTGCAAACATGTTTATATAATAGTATAGCGGGAATGATTTAAGCCACAGTTTGACAGGCAAAAATACAAAAGTCATCTCCAACTTTAGGCATTGTTTTTCTTTATACCTGACCTTTAGTTCTTTAAGCAGCAGGAACAATGTAACAGCAGATTTCTTGCAGATTTTCATATCCTTAATGAATAAAGAGTCAGAGCTGAAAGTGCATGGGCTTGAGACCACGAGGTCTAAAAATGAATTTACAGCTGTTCAAGACGCTCGTGGAAGAATCTGAAATTTCTCTGGGATGTGACACGGCATAATCCTTAACACAATTTAAAAGACAAATAAATTACACTAACAAAACACTCACTCGCACACAAAACACACATTCTTAAATCTGATAAATTAATTTAAAGAATAAAATTTTAAAAAAAATATTCAGCAGAGGGAATGTGATATAATACAAGTCATGAACAATATCAGGCAGACGAGTGAGCCAATTAAAGATGATGCAGACACCACTGAGGCTTTTTTTGACGTCGTCTGATAAAATGAACCAAGAACATTTCAAGTACTTGAAAACGTTTCTATCCATTTTGAAGTCACCTTCGTCAGGTAAAGCAGTGCTCCAGCCAGTAGTCACTAATGCCTGTTAGCTTATAACGCCACCCACACAGAGGTGATGACAGCAGCCGTGTTGACCAGTGAGGAAGACAAAGCACAAAAGAGTTGTGCCCGCCTTGCAGCTGCAGCATCGACAGAATCAAGTCTTTTAAAGGCAATCGAGTGTCCACTTCTGCCCCCTACAGATGGGAGAGCATCGTCCTCAGAGCTTTACAGGAAGACAAACTCTTCACTGCTTCTTCTGTTGTTGCTTCTGCCTAGTCTCCCTGGAGGCAGGATATGAGCTGGAGGTCCACTGTGATTGCTGCTGTGACCCTCAAGTCCATAATCCTGACTGTGGCCCTCCACAAAGGTGAAGACAGGATACTTCTCCTTCGACGATGACAGAGCCTGGAAGGACAACAAAGTCCAGTTAAAGCAGATCATCTTAAAAACAAAACAGAATATATCGCACGCAGAGAAAAAGAGGAAAAAAAAAAAATCAGTTTTTGACATTTTTCTTCTTCAAACTATCATAACGATATCTCCCAATTTATTATATTTAAATTTGTTTTGGGAAAATATTCCAATTTTGTTCTCCCACAATGGTAAATAATACTTCTAAAAATTAATGCATGAATTACTGAGAACACTTCAAGACTGGGCCAAGCTCTAGCAATGGTGAAAAATGTAATAATTTTAATGCAAAAGCCCAAACAAACCAATTACATCCTTGGCACATATATTATTTGAATGAAATATGAAGATCTACATACAGTACCTGCTTTGATTGTGTAGCACTCGCTTTCTACATTTGCTCTCGTATTCAACTGACTGTTAGGCATTACAAAGAAAAGCAGCCAATTCTCATGTTTTGACCTCAACTCAGAAAAAATAAAATCGGAAATCTTTGCTTGAAAAATTTGTGCAACTTGAGCTATTGAAATTGTATCTGTGCAGAAATGAAAACAGCAAGATGATTATTCAGCTTTCTGGAGCCGAAAGTGATGGCTTAATATTGCTTTTTTCCCCTCCAAACCAACTCAAACATATTTAACTGTCAGAAACAGGACAGATTTATCTCTACGAAAGGAAGAAAAAAAATGCTGCTCATTTCTAGTATGTTGTATAAATTAAATCAGAGCCACAAAAATGTGAGGAGGTTGTAAAAACTCACCTCACTGACAGCAGAACACAGAGACTCAAAGTCCTTCTTGTTCTTGGCGTAGAAACCGATGGTGCAGCTCGGATCCATGCGGTTGAAGGGCATCTTTTTAGGAGAGCTACAGTGGAACGACTGCAGAGTGGTAAAAGGAGACACGGGTCATACAATAAACAGATCAGAGCCAACTAAGCAGACGTGTTATCTTCAATGACCCGTGAATGAGTTTGAAGTCATATGATCTCAGGGAAAAAAAAAAAAAGGAGATAAAAGCCAGACAGAGAAGAGTAATGAAGAAGGCAGCAAACCTCCAGTGAGAAGTTAACTTGACTGACATCGACCACTGGCTGGCAGTAGTGAGGATCCAGATACAGCAGCTGCTCATCTGCCAGACAGAGAGGAATCCAAGTATAAAACAATAAATCAAATAGTTAAATGATGAATAGTCTCTCATACTTTTTATAATTCAGACAGCTTGTTCCTGCTGACCTTTGTAACAACTACCACAGAAGCCCAAAGCTGTAAGTTACAAACTCTACTTCCTTAACAAACCACCAAAACATATGTATAATATTATATTAGAAATTGATACAAAAGGCACAATTTATATTTTTAATTTCAGAGAGGCTTTGTGATGGTTCATACAGGAAGTTTCCATTTGTAGTGTGAAGATTTATTTGGGATGTGCTTTTTTGCCTTAATGGTTTTAAACCAGCATCAGGTAGCAGTTAAACATGTTAGCAATCAGCTTTTTAAAAGCACATTTTACTTATGCTTCTAGATATCCTAAGTTAAAGTCTAAGAGTAAAGTGTCGTGAAGAGTAATGCAGAGCGTGATAAGCAGAAGTAGCAGTTCCCCACCAAAGCAGCGCGTCATTATCCACACCTGAGAGAATGTGTGGCTCCTGCAAGAATAATACGGGTTGCAGGGGGCCTAACAGCAAAAAATGTCAGTTCTTCCCTAGCTGCCCTTGCTTCGGGTGGATTTATGCAAAAAGATAAAAATTTTAAAAAAGTTCCGGGTTTTTTTTTTGGCAATCCTCACCTTGGAAACCAATGAAATACAGCGAATGTTTTGGTTTGCCTCCGATTATTCCAATACAGCATTCCAGTTTCAGGAAGTTCTGAGAATGAACACAAATATTTTTAATATGAGTTTAGACACTTAAAATCCTTTAGGAAGTGGAGTCAGGCACTGGATGGTTGACAGACCTTGACACAATCGATGTAGGATGGATTGAGGGCCTCCCCTCCCAGCCGGACAGGGACCAGTATGATAACAGACTTCCAGTCCTGACTGGACGGATCGGAAGAAGTCTGATTCAGTGACCGATCACACAGATGCACCACATCTTCTTTGTACACTACAAGGCACAGAAACAGTGAGGGTTAAAACAGGCATGACGTAGAGAGCAGACACTTTATTAGGTACACCTAGTTAGTACTGGTTTAGACTCCCTTTTGCAATCAGAACTGTCTTAATTATTTCCGGCACAAATTGAACTAAGCACTGGAAACATTCAGAGATTTTGGTCCATACTGATGTGACAGCATCACAGAGTTGCTGCAGATTTGACAGCTGCACATCTGTAATGCAAATCTCCTGTTCCACCACATCCCAAAGGTGCTTGGTTCATGTGCAATTTAAGGCTACGTCCACACTAATGTGTTTTTGTTTGAAAACGCATCGTTTTCTCTCCGTTTTGGCCTCCCGTCCACACTGAGACGGCGTTTTCCCGTCTCGATGACGCATTTTAGTCATGTGGTGCAGTCATGTGACCAATTAAACAAAGATAGCGGAGTGCATTATATAGCAGTTGTTTTGATTGCTCTCAATTCTGACAGCCCTAAAAATGATTAATATCAGTTTGTACATGCTCCGGATAGCTTTTCTTCAAATTCTTTAATTCTCACTCGCTTTTGTGCATGCGCAGGACTGGAACGTAAGTGTTTTGGGTTGTTTCAATGTGGACGCACAACTCTGTGAAAACGACTGAAAACGCCAGTGGAGGCGGAGCGTTTTCAGACGAAAACGCAGTTTTCAAATCTATACGGCCTATCCGTAGCCTAAGGTATCAGTCGGTACTAAGAAACTATCCCCCACACCATTACACCACAACCTGACAGGATCGATTTTATGTTGTTTATGCTAGACTCTAACCCTAGGATCCAAATGATACAGGAAAAAAATAAGACTCATCAAGCCATTCTTCTGTTGTTTTGTTGAGCTTGTGTGACTTCTAGCCTCAATTTCCTGTTCTTAGCTGGTAGGAGTGGCCCTGGCATGATATTCTGCTGCTGTAGCTCATTACCTTCAACGTTCAAAGTGTTCTACATTCATAGAGGCTCTTCTAAATACTTAAATTGTAATGAGTGGTTATCTGAGTTTCTGTTGCCTTCCAATCAGTTTGAAGCAGTCGGGTCACTCTCCTCTGATTTCTGGTATCCACAAAGCATTTTTGGCCAAATAACTCCTGCTCACTGGATATTTTTCTTTACTTTGGATCGTTCTCTAAAACCCAGAGATGATTGTGTGGGGAAATCCCAATAGATCAGCTGGAATATTCAGACCGGCCCGCCTGGTGCAAACAACCATGCCACATTTTAAGTTTGTTAATCCCCAATTCTGATAAATGCTTTTAACTTTAGATGTACAAAAACACTGACCGGTGAGTGTATTTACACTCTTGGTGCAAAGCAAATATCAATCTGCTCTTTTCTCATTATTAAGCTAAACAAATATCTGCTCTATAAATCTCACCTGTACAATCCTGAGCCACATATACAGCCAGGTTTGTGACCACAGATGTTTTGTCCACTGCTTTCCTGAAAGGGACAAGAAAACAATTCCATAATTCTGGAAATGCTTAACAGCTGTGTAAATGATTTCAGAACACAGAAAAGCCTTGCTTGCAAAAACGAGCCATTACCGCAGTATGTGTGCCACTACAGAGGGGCCATACCAGTCACCAGCCTTCTTCCCCGAACCTTTGCCAATATCCACCAGCTGGTGAACGCCAAAAGGTGCTGGGGGCTGATCCCCAAACCAGGTAACAAGCCTGGAGTGGATGTGCTCTTGCCTGTCCTTTGTGGACTCGTAGACCCTTTTCTTCTGGCTGCATCTAGGTGCCTGACTGCTTGGCAGGGATTTCTCAGGGGTGCTGGAACCTCGTGGAGAGCCAAAGGAGGGTATTGGGACCCCTCCAGCCCGGGCTGGGGAACGTGGACGGAATACCTCAAAGTCCACATCAGTAAGCTGCTGAGACTCTGGCCAAACCCAGTCTAGAAAAACAGAAACAAAATTTATTTTTTTTATTTTTTTTCTTCAGACTTTAAACGATCAGAGGATGTTACAGACATGAGTATACACACAGAAAAAACAGTATAAAACTGTGTATAAAACAAAAGAACGGAGTTAGAGAAAGGATGGGTTGTCAGTTTTTGAGTCAACCATAGACTGTATATAAAAGATGGACATGGCTACCATGTGGGAACCTATAGGCGAGATCCCAAACCTGAGTGTTTTCTCCTTGCTATCATAGTGGTGGTTGATGTGACTGAGAAACCGAGGACACTGCTCACTCATCTGGAAATGACACCTTACTTTTTCTGTAACTGACCGAGGGGCGACGGGCGACGAACTGGGATAGTAAATTAAATGATAAATTAAATGAGAACCTTCACAGACATAAATTAAATGGTCTTTAACTAGCCAGTTCCAGAGTACAAAGTCAATGAATGACAAATGTCACACTGAGATTAGCACAGGTTATACCCTGGTGAATTCATAGCTTCCTGCACCCTCTACTCAGGTATCTCTCTTGGCTAAACCAGAAATGAGACACGGACCATCTTTAGCTTTGAGTTATATGTGAGGACACATCTTGGTCAGTGCCGCAACCTAATTTTTATGATATTTTATATTCTTAATGGATGAACACTTCTTATGTTTAAATGTAAAAATGTGTGTACCAGATGGAGAGTCCTACCTCTGGGCATCAAGTGAACCAGGAGCCCCTGTGCCAGCAGCATCTGCCCACTGCGCAGCATGCAGCCCCAACCACAGTCTGTTGTCCAGGTGGAGCCCTCCAGCTGAGGGAACTCTCTCCTATAGGTCAACCAGATCCTGGACACAAACGCTAGGCGGAACCGCTCCACCTCATCTGAGAGGGAGTGAAATAGAGAGGTGGAGCAAGAGACACACAAACACACACATATTTAGAGCTCTAGCACTTTGTTCAAGCATTAAGCTGTTTGTATTACTAATTTTAAATGATGAAAAAGCTCAGTTATGATACCTGCATATAATATTTTGGAAATAAAAGCGCAGGTTTTGTCTGTTTTAGTTCCTACTGCTCAGCTTTCTCATGTCAAATAAACATTTAAATAGGAAATGGTTAACCAGTGTGGTTAGCCACAGCACACATCACTGCAACACCTGGGGTCTATTCTTCTTTACGTTTCTCTAGAGAGGAAATAGTTTTAAGATGTATGAATACATTTAGCACTTACCTTCACTGTTAAGCAGATAGGAGTGACCCAGGACAGTCACAGGAGACACCTTGTTGAAGGAGGTTTTAGACTTAACAGTCCAGCCTGCAGACAGAGGCGCAAAAAAGATTCTCAAAGCAGAAATCTCAGTACTCCTCTATATAAACAAAAATCCAACACTCAGTCTTCATTACTTAAAACTGACTACAAACCATATTTGACATTATTCCACGCTGACATAAGTTTGGCCTTGAGTTTGTCCATCTCGTCAAGCTCCCCGGCGGCTTCTCTGCTGGCACCTTGAGTTTGTGGAGGCCTGACTCCGAAGCTGCCCTGCCGCTCCATGGGCTGCTGCTGCCTCCCCCTGTCCACCAGCTCATCTTGCATGACTCCCCCTACGTATTGTGCTGCACTCGGGGAAACTGAGTTCATGGCTCCGAGACCTCAGAGCTTACCTCTTGTGCTCCTCATTGCGACACGGAACTGATGAATGAACGAAAAAGAGGAACAACACAAGAATCTAGGTAAAAAATTAACTACTGATGCATCTTGTACTCAAAACGCTTTTACACTCATCCTGCCACTCATATACTTATTAACTCAAATATTTACTTGGATTTAAACTCATTTTAAAAGTGGCTTTTCTTCTTTGAATACACAGCACACAGTTACACTGGATTTTTCCTGGCTCTTAATTATCTGTGCTATCTTGTTTAACAGAAGTCTGAAATCTCCCTGTTATTTCTAGTTTATAAACACAAGTGGATTTTATGTTTCATCAAATTAAACTGTAGGTTTGAAAAGCCTCTTGAAATATTTCTCTCTCAGTGCTGAATGTTTTTCATCTTCTACATTGCCGTTGTCACATATATCCAGTTATCAACGGATAGACGTGACATTTGTCATCCATGTGATGGTAATAAGTAATAAGTTTCCATTCTGTAATCAGAATGCTAAATATACATTTACTGATGCTTTTTGCTTCTGGTCAAGTACCACCCACAGGTCTTGAAGTCTGGCGGTATAAGAATACTGATAATCCTCTGTAGTGCCTGGTGTATTTCCACTCAATAGTTTTGTTTATGCTGACATTCTGCCTTGATGTAAAGAGCAATTTGGAAAAAAAAAAAAAAAGTAAGATTCAGAGGCTCCATGAATCCTGTACTGATCACTTTCTATGGTATTTTCCTTTTATATATTGATTATTAGCCTGTAAATTTAGAGAAACTTTTCATTGTTTAGCAGATTCTAACTAAAGTACACATTTTCAGTTTCAACACTGCCTTCAGAGATGAGCACCTGTTTCTGGTTTGTATGCTCTAACATTTTTTTTCTCCTGAAACCTGGTTGTGTGTTTTCTGTTTGATGTAATAGGAGGATCAGCTGTGTTGGTGGTTGTGGGGAGTGTTGTCTTGTTTTCATGTTTCATGTTGCTAAAAACAAACAAACAAACTCAACCCAATTTCACTATTGTTAAAACGGAATTAGTAACAACAGAAGAGGCAGAGTTTGCACTTTGGCAGATAAATGACTAATTACATAAACCATTAGGGTAAAAGAAGAAGTCAAATTTTTAGCTGATGTATGCGGGTATGTAATTACAACAAATTTTATTTCCCCTGAAAACATCAAAGTCATTCATTAAATAATACTTCTTATAAGAAGGAGGATTGTTATCCATGGCTAATCACTTTCTAACATTCACACAATAAAACTGAAGTAGCACGTACAACTCTGGATTCAGTGCCCAAGAACACTTCCGCAGGTACTCAAACGGTGAAGGAACCTGCTGACTGACAGATGACCCACTGAGCCACCTGAGCCACAGTGACTAAGACAGAGAGCTGGAAACAAAAAGACCCATTCTATGTGCAACTTCCACATTTACTATAATTGCTGTATTCTTTTATGTAAATGTCACTGGTATTTGAATATCATTTTAATGTGTGCCCCTAGATATTTATATTTTTCTAAAAACTCTGTAAGGTCATTATTAATAACTACTGAGGAAGCTGTTTGCTTTTGCACCTTCTTAATCACATGTGCATTTGAAGCCTCCCTTGTGTATTTGTATCATCAGCTTGTATAACTGATTGAACTGTTGCCAGGATACTATTGCGAAAGAGATGTTTAATCTGAGTTGTCTGTCTGGTTAAGTAAAATAAAAACATGTTTGTTTATGCACAATTTTCTTTTTAGTCCTCTTGCATTATACAGTCTGTCAATGATCCACATTCATACTTTCTGCTGAAAACAATATGCTTGCGTTTGAGAGATCTGATAACAGCCTAAGGACCTGAGCAGTTCACAGGTTTCCTTGTTTCATTATGGATGTTGTGATATTATTCTGTTATTATATGTTACCTTATATATGTAATCAAAGTAGTTGAATTAGAATACTGCTGTAGATCATATTATACCCTTTAATATAGAGTGTGTGAGCTGTATGTAGTTTAGTTCTCGTTATACTTTTGAGTTAACAGAACATATTCACTTATTAGTTTATTAGATAAGTGTGCATCACTCTGTATCCTTGATCTGCTGTGAATGTGTTACATGCTTAATTGTTGAATCATGAAGAGAAGATTGTAAGCAGGAGACTCTGTGTCTAAGACAGGGGAGATAGACAGACCACATTCCACACCCCCACCTTACAGAAAGCAGAGAAACAACTGCCGAGGTCATAACTTAGGCGCTGTAACAGAGAAAGAATGTGATGTTTTGGCTTTTACGACTAGATGGGGGCCACTAGAGACTATAAAAAGCTGAGCGACCCGTCACCATTTTGAGACTTGCTGTGACCCTCTTCAGGCAGCTCCCCCCATCATGATGGTCCTTATGCTCTTAAGTGTTGAATTGTATGGAAATAAATGATTGTTGATTGAGCATAAATACACCGAGTATTGTCCTTCCTTCAGCCCAAAGATTCAAAGAATTGGGAGATTTCAACAATGTTTAACTCTAGAAAAAAACAAGAACAAAGTAAGATCTTTCGTTTTTTAACATCTGTAAGTCAGAATCAAGGGCAAACAGCACAAAGAAACATTAAAAAACCCCAAACTGTCAGAGTAAATCCGAGTAATCATCCACAGCTGCCCATTTCACAATTTGAAAAACACTTAAGGAAAGTACCAGAGACCTTTTTCACCCTGCCCTGAAACTGATGAGTAGCACTTTCGACAGGGAACAGAGAGTATTACGATGAGTACTAACTGATCCTGCTGATGGAAACGTTTCTATGGTAGAGAAGAAAAAAAACACTCATCATGTGATAACCATTTGACAACCGGTATGTCGGGCTTTTCAACGTCTGTAAAAGTCATCTGATGATGATGGTGGCTACCATTTTTCATCACCTGTAAGTCAACCGGTTTATTAACCATAATCTATTATAGAAACACTCTCATGACACGACCAGTGTCAGGGTATATGAACGGATTCTGACCAGCAGCCTCACTGTCAATTCCCATTTACTGCTCTGGTCACAAAGACTCACCAGCACTATAGCGCATACCTAATTTAAAAAGCGTCTTTCACCATTGTTAAAGAATCAAAGGCCAGCAACAACATACCTGATGTAAAGGTCGGTTAAGCAGGTCGGTACCCCGTAATAGAGCCACTCATTTCGGATATTTCCTCCCTCCTGGCGTACAGCGGCAGCCTGAGACTAGCTGGCTGAACACGCTAACTTCTGCAGCTAGCCCCGGCGTTAGCTCTCTAGCACTGAAGACGGAATCCCCGAAGAGCTTAATGCTTTTATAATAAAATACAGTTAATGTACGAATGGTAGACTTCCTCCCATTTAACACAGAAAGTCATTTATCTACACGGTTACGAAAATAAGCTACTACATAGCGTCTATGCTGCTCCGTGTGACAGCTCCTGACCGGACAACATTTACTTCCTGTTGTCCTTTTCCGGCGCACCACTATTGGTTGAATTAAATCCTGTAGCAAATCTGATAGGATAATATTGCACTAATGCGCAGTGCACGGTGCCATTGGCTAATAATAAGTCCTGTAGTTATGCAATGAGTGACCTGGTTAAAAAGTATGCGTTACTAAACTTAAATAATAAATTTAGGTACAAACATGCCAACAATTGAAAAAAGTTAAAATAATAAGTAACATATAATTTTGGTTTATATATTAGTAAATAATTATGGTGTAATTAGTTACCTTTGTGCAGCTTTCAACCAGAATAACCATCATACATCCAAAATCCAACAAAAAAAGTCTCAAGCAGGACCCAGTAAGGAATTGGCAGAAACGCCAGCTACTGATAGATAGAGCAGTTTCTTGAGGCTGTAAGACCAGGGTGAGCACTGTAGACAGTCCAGGTGTTATGCCTGGACTGTCTACAAGAAAGCCTGTGAATTAGTCCCTCATGCATGGATCCTGGAGTGCCTAGAACTATACAAGACAGGACCTTAAGAGCCTTCTTTAGGAAAGTCACCATCAAGAGTGGGATTTACCAAGGAGATGCTCTGTCCCCACTGCTGTATAGGCATAGGCCCGAACCCCCTTTTAGCCAGAACATTAAGAAGACTAGATATGGATACAGACTACAAAAGGGAGCAAACATTAGCCACCTCCTCTATAAGGAAGGAATGAGTCTGAGCACTAATGAGTGTCAGAACCACCATCAAGGATGAAACAGCAAGGTCCATGAGTACACCAGGATGATGGTCACAACTGATTATGTGAGAAAGAAGAGGAACCATCATGGAATGATAAGCCTGTGCAGGGAACCCTGCGGGACTTCTTAATACAGACAGACAAACTGGTGATGGCTAACCAACTGGACATAGTAGTGGTGGATATGCAGAGGAAGACAGTCATAGTGGAAGATGCAGCTGTACCAAGTGAAAGCAACATGAGGGAGAAGAAACATCAGGAGCTCAAGAAATACCAAGGGCTAAGAGAGGAGCTAGAAAAGATGTGTAGGGTGAAGGCAACAGTGGTGACTGTGGTAATCCAATGACTGCCAAACAGGGGAAGTGGCTCCAGCAGATCCCATAAACGATATTCGAGAGCTCCGTCCAGAGCAGTGCACTGTGCAGGACTCTCAAGCCCCCAGGGCTTTGGTAGAAGACTCAAGCTTTAAGGATAAAGAAGGGTAAGTAACTTTATACTATATACTTATAACATATATTTTTAACCTGTCATCCTATCCCTGGCATCCTCCTGTGTCACACCAATCCTCTGCATGTCCTCAATCACTGCATCCAATCTTTTCTGTGGTCTTTTTCTCCTGCTCTCAAGCTCAATATTCAACATTGTTTGTCCAGTATATTCACTTACCCTCTGCTGTACATTTAACCATTTCAGTCTTGCCTCTTTAACTTTCTCTTGAAACCCCGCAGCCTAATTTGTCCCTCTGACATACTCATTTCTAATCTTGTCCATATCAGTAACTCTTAATGAAAATCTTCTCTGCCTCCTGTCTTTTGTCAGCATCACTGTCTTCAAACCAAACATCATAGCACGCACCACTACCATCTTTTAAATGAGTAATATATTAACAGACCTGTCATATGTCTTCAAATACATATGGATACATTTTCATGTAAAAATAAATTACCTCCAAGCATTTGATTTTCAGGGGTTAGACTGATGGTTATAACATTGCTTAATTAATTAGCTATGAAAGTAATAATTTATTACACCTGTACAGCTGCACAGCTGTTATAGGGCAAACTGCAGACAGGTTGCCAGTTTACTGTATCACAGAACGGTAGACCACTTAACCTCACATGCATGTCTTTGGACTATGAGAGAAAGTCAGACTACCCACAGAGAACATGCATCTCTACACAGAAAAGGCCCCACCTGGCCTGGTTAAGTCAGACCCAGGGCTTTTTCATTGTGAAGCAACAGGACTAACCACTGTACCACCATGATGCCCTAGTTCAAGCACACTATTTTGATTTAATTTATCCTTATTCTAAGAAAAGAATTCAGTGCGAGTATGCACAAGTAGTGCAAGTATTTGTTTAGTTCCGTCTTAACATGGCTTCACGTGTGGAGGTTACACATACATCATGCCCTAGACTTGGTCCCTAAGGTTAACTGGTGATTCCAAACTGACTGTAGGCTCAGATGTCAGTGTGTGGTTGTCTGTCTCTGTAGTGGCTCACAGCTTGTACAAGGTGTGCCTTTTTTCTTGCTCTGTACCAGCTAGGAAATTCTCCAGCCTCCCTGCAACTCCAAAAGTAGTAGAAAATAGATGGGCCTTAGACACTTAAAGGATGTGAATGTTTTCTCCACTAGTCAATGACAGTTTTGTTGACAGAAGATTCCAATCCATTTTATTTTGTTAATAAATGCAGCTAACTGTAATCTTGATAGTCTTGGTAGGATCAGAGGCCTTTTCATTTGCAAAGGAATCAGCTTCATAAACCTTTTCACAGCTGGAGAAACACAGAGATAACTAATAACATTAACTATGACTTTATTCCAGAGATTATAGCGCTGCAGCAGCTGTGAAAGGTTATTAGCTACACCTGTGTTTGACGGCTCTAAATGCTCTAAAAGAAGGTCTATTTTTTAAAAATGATTCATATTTGCCCCTAGGTAACACCCTTTCATAAAGTAGGACACTGAAGTCAGAATTAACAACACCCACCAAGCTCTCCTATTAGTAACAGCTACGATGACATGAACATCTTTTTTCAGGTGTAAAGAACTTATTAATAATTACCTGCACGCTGTAGCCAGAGGTGTGCTTACTGTGATAAATGCTGCTGTGGGATTAGAGGTTAAAGCCAAAAAAGAGTGAGATCCTGCAAGGTTTGGAACAAAAACTGAATTTTATTCCACGTACTGCACTTCAGGTGTCTGCATTTAGGTCACACCTATCACAAACAAAAATGCCGCAGTGGTACAACTAAATACACTTCGAGTGAACAGAGAAATGTGGAATGTTTTTATACTTATCAGACTTTTGTGTTCATTTGTAGAATCCACATTGTATACAGGATAGTAACTTACAAACAATATCATCAACTCAAGATTTTTTTTCTTTCAAATAAAGTGCATTTCTACTACTCTCTCTGTCAACCACGGAAAGAAAAAGACATTTTAAAACATGTATTATAGACACCACTGATCAGCAAAAGGCCTGAATTTTGATACAATAACTGCAGGAGTTTGTTTTCTTAATCGGGTGATTTGAGATGACCTGATGACTCCTTTATTACATCAAGGTATAAAAGAACTCCTTGCTGTGAATATAAGACAGTATATTTAAAAACTTAACTATTCACAAAGATATAATTAACAGTCACAACGGAAAATTAATAATTCATGTTTCAAGTGTTCATTTTATAATTACTGCAAATATTTTGTCATTAGAACTTTAAATGCATATTTGGTAACCGTATGGCTAACAACAACCATCAAATCCGTGCTCTGCACTTCATCAAGGAAACACTCACTCCAATAGATTATATTTCAAATATTTGATATTGATGCTAACCACTGGAGGGCAGTAGAGTAGTGTGTCAAATGGGAAAAGAAATCCCTGCCAAGCATGTAAGGCATGGGATATGTTTTCATATTCATGAATGGTTATGTGAAAAAACTATAGAGTGCCAACACAGCAGAGATCAGCCTCCTGGTTTGTAAATCTATGCAGTCTTTAGCTCATTGTTGCGGATTTCCAGGCAGATACAACAATGTAAAGCAACAAGCGGCTGCTCTTCGTTAAACTGTACACTGAACACCCAGTCGGAAGTGACCGAGACAAACTTTCACTAGATATGTTGTGCAGATGAACCACTTGTTTGAGGTTTGGAGGTAAAAGTACATTTTAGTCCGTGAACTTCTGCCTTGGTGTCAGATTTACATGCTGTTGTTGGCTGAATCAGTTTCCCTTTTACGTTTTTAGAACCTTGAATATCTACAAAAAAATCAAATCACTGGCAGAAAGTGACAATTAACAATCACATCTGGATTAATCTGTTTAGCCACCTACTCTCACACATGGATTTGCATAAGATTATGTACACTGGATAGTCATGAATTACAAGAAAGTGACTATGACCAATGAGAGAGGAACATCGTTTTGTGTGTGTGTGTGTCTCCTGTGAACATTTCCCAGCATTCCTGCTGAGATCACTGACAAACACTTTTATCTGTATGTTGCACAGCAAAATGTGAGGATTATATTAATCAGTCTGGACAAGCTAACTTGTAAGTACCTAAATACAAAGTCATTCTGATTACACTGTAGATAGCCTGGTTTAAAGAGAACGGGCTCGATGTGATATTCCATGTATGCACAAACCCTACTTTTGCTATAGAGCCCTTTAACAAGTAGATTATAGTATGCTACATCCATGACTTCCTGCTTTTCCAGATTTGACTGAAAACAACACATGGGTTCACTGCATATGTGCATAATACATTTTTCTATGCCTTAACATGCTATAGTCTCCCAAGCAACCTTCACTGTGCCGGTTTGATTTGTTGGGGAAGGATTTCCTTCCTGCTTAAAAAATAAAATAATACTTTAACTGTTACTGGATCCTGACTGCTCATTTTGAGGAGAATTTTCATGCCAATGACCCTCGCTGAGTCTGCCGAGTCTTTGAACAGACACAAACATGGTCACACGCTTCTTAATCCACTCATAAACACACTTGTGTCCTAATTCGTGTGACCACAGGCGTATGGATTTAAATGCATGAAAATCAGCTGCTGACACGGCTGCTTCCTGTGGCGATGTGCGAGTGTGTGTTTGCGAATGTGGCAGCAGCCAGAGATGGAGTGAAGAAAAGGGCTGCGGTAGCCCATCCTGCGAAGGAGAGATAAGCGCCGAGGTCTGACGTTCTTGCTTTCCTCTGTGGCCTTCAAGAACCACCAGAAATTGTCCCAGGGTAGCTAAACGCACATGCGTTTGCACACACAAACACACACACACAAAATCCCCTACGACAGAGATTGCGAGACTGTGCTCGCTGTGACGTCCACTGACAGAGTGCCTGCTTTGGCTTCGTCTGACCGTCTGAACTCAGGAAAGTAAACTGCTGGATGATGAATAAAGAGCTCAATTATCTTCTCACTCAGTAACTGTTTGATGTGTCAACTTTGATTTGACTGTTTCACTGCTTTGGTTGACGAGCAGTAAAAAAAAAAAAAAAAAAAAAAAAAAAACCCAAAACAAAAAAAGGGCTGGTTGAAAGAAAAAATAGAGTGACTGGATTTGGTATTCACAGTATTCAGCATGTTTTGATCTGTAAAGCACTTTTTGACCATCTTGTACCTATTACACATGTACAGTACAAACCATGTGACATGCATTCACACAGACTCACATATACATCTGATAAAGTGTTTCACGTTACATTTAGAGTCCTCTTATTAAAGTATTTATAATAGAAAATCAACAGTTAATGCACCTTTACAGTAGATCTTTTACTCCTGGTTTTAGGTTAGATTCAGTCAGTGATTGGAATCAATAAATAACATTTTATACTCTTAAACTGGAATGTACATTGGTTTTAAGTGCTAGTCTTCTGTTGCATTGTCCAAAAAAGGCATCTTCTTTTTTTTTCTTTTTACTAAAGTCCCATTTAGGGACTCCATGAGGTCACATTTTCGGCAGGCTGCTACCTGTTGCCTTCTCTAGCGGTGAACCAGCAGGACTCTGGGTCACCACTGCAGCCCCAACAACCACTCGACCTCCAGCTGGAGAGTCAGACTTTCCCACTGTGCCTCCCTGTTTTTCCTCTGCTGCTTTAGACTGCTGCTCTTTGCTCTTGGCCCCCTCTTGAGAGCCGAGCTTGATCGGGCCGAGGACGTTTTTGGCCACAGTGGTCAGCTGGCTGACGAAGCTTGTCTTGTCACCAGGGGAGACAGGCCGTGACTTACAGAGGGAAGGTCCACAGAGGGAGGGGGTTACCGCGGTTGGGGAGGGAGAAGGAGAGGGTGAGTGCTCCTCCACCACCTCCAGACGACATTTGTCCTCCCAGTCGAGTGATCCCCGGTAGCAGTTGACAGCCCCGAGTCCCTGCCTTACTTTGGCCAGTGACAGCGCCTGCCCATGCGGGGGAACGACAGGAGGGAGGACCCGAGCTGGTAGTTTGGGGCTTTTGGAGCCAAGGTCTGGTGTCCTTGTGTCACTGCTGTCAGTCCCCATCTTTCTCAGGGCGTCTCCAACTCCTGATGGTTTAAAGGTTTTGCTCAGAGGACCTCCTGTCACTGTTGTGATGATGCCAGCGGACTTATCTGGAGCAGAAACAGAGCTTTTGCTGTAGGCAGCTCCAGGAAGACCACACCGGCTCTTGTTGTCTCCTTCCTGCTTTGATTCAGGTCTGCCCCCTAGCTGCTGCTCCTGTGGATGTTTACTGTTAGAAAACAGACTTTTGGCTATCTTGGAGTCTAGCTGTTTTGGAGACATGTCTGCCTGACTCTGGGTGAACTTCTCAGGCCCCTTGTGAGCACCTAAACCCCCTGTTGTTTTGGTAGGCGTGCTAGGGGTTATAGCTTTAGTAGTTCCTGCACTTAGTACAGAGCTTTGTGAGTTCAAAGGCTGCTCACTTGCATGAGGTTTTCTTCCTAAGGATGACTGCGATCCTGTCCCAGCCTCCTTCTCCCTCTCCACTCCTCTCTCTTTCTCTTCCCTCTCCCTTCCAGCCAGTAGTGTTTCCCTGCTCAGTGGTGACTCCTGTCTCCCTAGTCTCCTCGCTGGCTTCAGCACACCAGTCTCTGGGGAAGTTGAGGATGAGGGTAGAGGGGGAGGATTAGGAGGCAAATTTTCCCCTTCTGTCTCCAGCAGGCTCTGGAGCCCAAGCTCGCAGAGGAAGGCGTCCTTGCGGTACTCAGAGTGCTGGACCTCAAGGCTGTGTTTCCTCAGTGGACCCCCCAGCCCTCCTGTAGAGCTTGACTGGGTTAGAGGCGAGCCGAGCTTCTCTGCTGACTGCACGCGTTTGAGGAGAGGTGATCGCGGAGGCTCGGCACTCTTGGGCCTGGGACGTACCACCGGCGGGGAAGAGTGGAGCTTGGCAGGGAAAGACTGGGTTGTGTTGGAGCTCCCTACAGTGTGACCTGGTAAAGGTGGAGGTGAAGACTGGGTGGGGGAGGGCGTGTGAGCCAACGGGGACAGTGGAATATTACCGGCAGACTTACAACGGGCAGACCGATACTGGCGATGGAGTTTCGGGGAGAGGCCGTGCAGTGAGCTGGGTCTCATGTGCTGCGAGGGAGCCGGGGAGTTTGGAGTGCTGGATGCTGCAGAGCTGCTCTGAGAGGACGCACCTGCAGAGAGCAGAAAAGATGAGTGAAGCTGTCAAAACCCCCAAGGAAGTAAAATTAATTTGTGCACTGTTTATTTTCAGTGTCCTACCCAAGTATGAGGGCTCAGGGGTGGAGCGATAGCCCTGAGTTGGAGACCGTGCAGACAGGCTGTGAGTTGGGGAGCCGGGAAGACTCTCACTGGAGGACAGAGAGCGATTCAGGGAGGACAAGCTGCGGCTGGTGTGCAGGAGATTGGACTGTTTTGTGATCTTGCGGAACAAGGAGCTACGCTTCTTACTGCGGGATAGAGAAGAGAATAATTAAAGAAGGAAGGAAGGTCTGAATTGGGAACAAAAATAACCGACAGTAATTTACAGTATTTATTAACTTCGTTTAAAAGCACAGTACTGATGGGTTTGCAAGTAATGCGTACTAGCTACATACAGTACACTGAGTATTTTAAACTGTTGCTAAGCATTTCTCAAAAACACTGCACAATTTTGCATTAATTCTCTATTATTTTAATCATATCAGACATTTTGTTTTTAACTAACCACTCAGGGCGATGTGCTGTTCTACAGTGTTTTGACAAATTTCCTGTCATTGCTGCATTCAAGATAGCTTTGACCTCAAGCAGTTACTGACTTCGAAGTCTTGTTATAGTCTCCGAAGATATTTTTTTTGTAGTACATTAAAATAAACAGAAATCAGGTTCTGCTTTAAATGTATAATGTGTACCTCAGCCACAAAACTGTTATAATCAATAAAGCAAAACACGTAAAGCTCTTCAGTTAGTAAGGCTAACTCTTCTTTGGTCTATAGCCATTATAATAATGAAAAATATGTTATTGAGGCGAGAGTTCAGCTGAGTCGTTGTATGAGTGCAGTGTAGCAGCTACTTGTCCTACTTGTCCTGGCTGTCTTTGCCCATCGTCCTCTTGTTTCGCCGGGCCATCTTGCACTTGTAGCTGGCCTTACGAGCAGGGCCCACTTTAATGGAGGTGTTCTCAAAAGGTGTGGTTGTCACCGTCACCTTGTTGCCACTCTGCACAGAAGAGCAATAATAATTTCCGCACTGACAAGCCCATTTACATAAAGCCTTCTCTTGAAATTGAAAGCTGGTTATTTATATTGCCAGCGTGGAACAACTGAGAATAAATAAGCCTGCTGACCTTGAGGATGAGCTCCACTACTTCAGTGTGGACCAGACCGTGGACGGGCTCCCCGTTGACATGAGTGATGAGGTCACCAGCACAAAGGCCAGCTTCCTGGGCGGGGCCACCGTCCTCCACATGCTGCCAAAACGCAAAAAATATTCAAGTTCGCGGAAGGTGGAAAATCACCTCCATGTAAACAGAATGCTCATGTTGTGATTCTCACTGGTAAATCTCAAGACAAGACAAATATTTTCAGATCAGATTATGTAGCATATTTGTGTATGGTGAGATTAGAGAAGTGGCTCTAACGTTCAACAGCAGTGATCTTGTTATGTCCCTATTGTCCAGCTTTATCGCCGTCCTAATCCTGCTCTGCATTCTAAGTGCTTCCCTTCAGTTTAATCCCCTTTTTTAAATTATTGATTCCTATTTAATGGCAGCTCCACTTCTAGAAGCACACTCACAAATCAAAACACAGGCCATCCCTCTTTGCGTGAGGTTATGGAGTTCAGCTACAACATTAATACATGTCTGAGAGTTTCTTACCCAAACAATGTGATGTACGCTGTAGATATCACTGTCTCCAATGTAGACTCTGATGGCTCTGAGAGTAAAGCCATATTTCTTTCCGGAGCGGTGGATGGTAATGGGGGAGCGCAGCACACTGACTGCTGGGAAAAAGTCTCTGCTGGGTGAAGAGTCGCGTGACGAAGGGTTGGAGGAGAAAGAGTGGGGCGACATGGGACTGGCCAGCGGGGAGAAGCCGCCATGCTGCTCCACTAAAAGCAAGGAGACGGTAAAGAGGAGAAATAAGTATGACGTATCAGTAGTATTATTAAATGTTTCATTGTCTCTTTCCTTGCCCTTCTTACCTGACGGTATGATAACAGACAGGGCCGTGGCAGAGGCTGATTTAATGACCTTGTTGCCTGCTCTGGAGTTTCGCTTCTCTCCCTCACCAGACAAATGCTGATGGCGTGCCCTCCGGAGGACCAAGTCATTTGTTGCTCGTGGCCCCAGAGGGTCATACAGAGGAGTCATCACATCCCGGCCGGTTGCTGCAGGACCTGGGGATAATGTGGTGATGGCTGTGGTAATGCCCGGTGTCTCTCCTGGCCTTGGAGATTTGTCTGTGAGCACACAAATTAAGAACAATGTTAAAAATGACTCAGCTGACTCAACAGTAGCCATCTTATAGGCAAAACCTCTTTTGCTTTCTCTATCTGCTCTAAAATCTGTCACTTTCTCTCCTTGCAAACATTTCACTATCTCTGAGGCTTTCCCGCCTGCTGACACACCTGCCCCATTGATCTCCTTCAGACTGTTTCTTTGCTCCAGCAGGCTCGGTGAGGGGACAGTAGTCCCGTCCAGCGAAGTGCCACGGACCTTCATGTAGTTCTGGCGGGACAGGAATTCGGACTCGCCCTCTAGAGGTGAGGCAAAACGATGCGTGTCCATCAGAGCTGAGAAGCGTCGTCGGGCACCAAGAGGAGGGCTCGCATCACCTTCTGTGTAGAGGGACTCTGAACAGGACAGGCGCTTCCTGTAAGAGAAGGATGCAGTCAGAGAAGGTAATGGCACAAATTTCTCTGCAACCACGCAAGTGACTGTCTGCTCTAACAGTGCAGCAATGACTATTACAGCCCTACAGAACCTGTGTGGGTGTGTTTTGCTTTTCCTTCCCTGCTTTCGGTAATTACCATTCTACAAAAATTCAGCCGATGGGAATGTCTATGATTCTAGACTAGGAATAATAAAAACTCACAATTTAAGAAATATGACAGAAAGTCTGAGACGAAACTTTTTTTAAAAATTTCTAAGGAAAACATTTCTTTCTAGTTAATGAACCACATCACTTCACTTTGCATTTGAATTAGCAGTAATTAAACACCAGTGATTTTTTTTTAGCAGAGAAAGACGGGACACAATCAGATCATGCATTTTTATTATTTTTCTAATTAAATCATAATTAAATAATGAGCTGTAAGAAAAAACACTTGGCTGAAGAGAGAGATGATACAGATAATGTCCATTTGTTTTGGCTGGGGAGAAAATATGTAAGGTAATAAATAATGAGTCTCTTGATTTTCTGTTATGGAGACAGAACCTATCAGTTATTTCCTTTCACGTGTGAATACAGAGTGATTTCAATCCCGACAAACAGCCTGAGGTGAAATGGAGACATGAGAAGTAATGGAAATCTGTTTCCTGTGTATGCAAACCACAGTACGAAGGAATTAGATCTCACAATGAGAGTAAATTTTCCATTTATGCGAGCTACAAACTAAAATGATTGATGCAAGCTAATTAGAGGTCTTTAGTTTTCAATATTAAGATTGAGGCAGGCGTTTCCTGTAACAGACGAAGAGCTAATAAGCTGTGTCTGTTAGGAACTGAAACAGCTTCAGAATCGAGGGTACAAGTATCATTGAACCACTTGCACTCAAACTAATGAAATGGAATAAAACTAATGAATCTGTTGAACAGAAACATATGAGGCACCAATCAAACTCGGCTCTCCTCCTTCAGACTGGGTGGATCTGATGCTGTTTTTGTCTCAAAGTGAGTGCAAATCCTCACACAAAGATCTTTTTATACAACGAGTGTCAGAACTGGTGTGAGTGAGACGGAAATAAAACTCCAGACAAACTGAAATAAGTGAGGCTGCCAAAAGGAAAAAACCTTCAGGGAATCACCTCATGAACATCCTCATACGTTGCTTAGGTGTAAAGAACACCCCTCCTTACTGTGTCATACCTAGAATAAACTGAACCTTATTCAGTGCTGCCCACCACTCACATCTCAGGGGATCCAGTCCTCCAGCTCTTGTCCCTCATGCTGAAGCTGCCCATGCTCTCTCTCTTCGTTACCTTGTCCTCCCGTGGGCCCTTGTGTTCCCGACGGGACACGGAGCACGTAGCTTTCTGTTCCAGCTGAGAAAGATGCTCCATGCTGCTGTACACCTGCAGCGGGACACAGTCAGATCGATGAGCATTTGGTCTGTTGGCTTTGATTAATAGCTCAGGAGAAATGTTGCTTTTGAGTTGGAGTTGCAGATATACATTCTGTGTGAATTTGTTTCAGACACATGCCTTTATTTCAACAATTACTGGTGATATCATGGTTTTTATTATTCAGTTCAGGTGGAGATAGAGTGTTTTTGGCATAGACTGTAGATAAAAGTCTGTGACATCAACCAAAGCTTGATGTCATTTTTTTTTTTCCTGAAACCAGCAACTTCACAAAGCTGCCCAGCCTAAAACGCACACTGCTTTATCATCTATTTTACTCTAATTGGTAACATAACTTACAAAATTAGTAGCATGCAGTATTCAGTATGATTGTCAAGACTGAAGTCTCTTCAGGAAGGTATTTATGAGGTTATAGATTAAGCGAGTGCATAGTTTGCATAGCTTTCCTATAGAAAACTATGCAATCCCACTTCATTTTCCTTTGAGCCACGTCCCCATTTGACCTGGAAACTCAATCTTTTCAGTCTATAGTTTCTGGTAGCAACCTGGCATAAAATACACAAATAACTGGACTGGTACTAAGGATAAAGGATAGAGCCAGCAGTATAACAAATAAAATAATCAGATATTCACCAAACGTCTGTAGCTCACTCATAATCACTGCCTGAGGCTACATCCAGTGCTGTATAACACACCTGAATCCCCAAGCAAACTGTGGTCGCACTGCAATTTCAGTTATAGGAGATAAAACCGCCCGCCATGAGTCTGAAATGCCAAATCGATGGAGGACTTGTTAATGGAGTATCTCGGTCCAGGTTTTAGCTTTCAATGTGGTCTGCCAGCTCAAAATGTGTGCAGACCATTAAAAAAAAGATTTTACTCTTTTAGATGATTCAGCCTTTAAAACATGCATATACTGTATGCCTCCTTAGGAAGCCTCTAACAGCTCAGGTTTGCAATTTCTGTGGAAAATTATGTGTCACAGTCTGGCCAAAATACTTTAAGAGTCTGATAAGGAGAACATTATGAGCTGTTAAATTTTAGGACATTCTGGCAGTCGTAATTTTCACTATTGGCAGCTTCAATTCAAAAATACAAATTTCCACCTTGGCTTTTGCAGATATGTGAGTGAGCAAGACTGGAGAAAATGT